AATTATATGGCGTGTGAGATTCTATTGTGACCTTATGCTTTCCATTATTTTATACAATATGTTAGATAAGTTTCTGTCTTTTTGGATTTTTATTTTTTTTAAAATGTAATAAGTATAACACTTATAAGGGGGTTTGATAACATGATTTCAGCACTTAAAACTGAATGTATTTGGGAACTTACCTTTTTTAGCCAAAAGCCAAAAGTTACGAATTAGCCAAAAAGCCAACAACCCATTACCAAAAAAAGGTCAAAGATTACTCTTTTCTCTCTACTTTTTTGCACATATTTTCCGTAATTAGCCAAAAAAGTCATCCCACATACAAGTTTTTTTAGCTAACTTTTTACGCCAAATAGCCAAAAGTATACTACATTGCCTGTTCCCAAACAACGTGATAATCAATTAAGCGGTCCATTTGAGTAATTCGCAATCCGATATCACAACAATTTAGTGCCTCTTAAATGTAAGTTAAAATTCAAGAAAAATTTTAATTCATATGAAATTTACTAATTTTGATCTGAATTTATTAAATATAAATATAAGTATCAATATATACATATAAACTCATTGCCAACACCACCATTACCGCTACTACTACCACCACCACCAGTACTGCTTCACACCACTACCTGTACCACATGTTCACGCCACCGCCACTACCACTACTACTATCACGCCACTATTGTTGCCGCTCGCCACAAATCATCATTCATGCCACATGCTTACTAGTGCCATCCACTAACTGCACCATCTACCCACGCCATCGCCATCACTACTGCTACTTACCGTTGTCGTCGTCGTTGTCACTTGCCACCACAACACCACCATCTATTGCACCACCACCACTGCCTTTAACACTATAACTACTGCCATCGTTGTTGCACTGTTGCCACCACCACCATCACGGTATGGGCCTGCCGCCGCCATAACTGTCACCACCACTACTATTACCATCATCACCACCACCACCCCACGACCATACTCACCACCTCATAAATATAAAAAATTTTAAAATATACAATTTTAAAAATAATAAATTTTTAAATTTAATTTCCTATACATATCAAACAATTATTTTTAGTTAAGCACTTAAATTTTTATCAAATAGTTTCAATTTAAAACACTATAACAAAAAGCACATTTGTGGACGAAATAATTGGTCGCCAAAAATCATATTATTTTGTCGCTAAAAATGTGTTTATAAATTTGGGATAGCTATGTAGTTTTTAGCAACAAACAAATTCTCACCAAAAATTAGCGGACAAATTAATTTAGTCGCCTAAAAATCAACTTTTTAGGCAACTAAGTTTGGGTTGCTAAAAATTCTTGGAATAAGCCACTAACTTTTAGCGACCGGAAAAACAATATGAGTCATCAAATATATTAACAGCGACCAAAATAGCACCTGTCACTAAAAATTCACTGCACAAATTTTGATTTAATAAATTTTTCCTATTCAAAATAACCCAAATGCCTATTTTTCTTACACAATTTATATATACAAATGCAATGTAAATATTAATACACCTGTGGCAAGACATTCATAATATTCAAAATTAATAGCTATAAACACCCAATAAACATAATTACAATTCTCAAAAATCTGAACATTCATACCAAAGTACATACGGGAGACGTGAGTTGAGACGATGCAGAGCATCCGATGCAGAAGTGCGCGATACCGGAAATCCTATGTCAAAATATTTTTCAAAATACAAAACAAATATGATGTTAAACATTTCTAACCCACAAGTTCTTTTACCAAAAAATCTTATGCAAAATATTCTGGCAAAAATACCAAAACCAAAATTTTTGATGCTAAACATCTTACCCAAAGCATTTTACCAAAATCCTATGTTCAAAATATTTTCAAAAACACAAAATCAAATCTTTTGATGCAGCCCGAACTATTTTCCACTATTGCCCAACCCTGTCATATGAAAAAGAAAAAATATATTAATTGACAAAAAAAAAAACTCCGGGTATGGAATGACAATTTTGATTTTTAATTTTTTTGTAACCGAGAAGGTCAATCGGGTGCTATTGCTCAACAGTTATTTAGTCTTAAGCAAACAGCATGCTGGCGATCCCCTCCCCGTTATCAACTAATTACCTCGCTACAGGTCGCGTACAGAGACTGAGGGGGCCCCCCAAAGTGGAAACATCTTCTCATAGACAATCCATAACAGACTCTTAACAATCAAAACGGGGTGGGGGGGCCATGTTTTTTTTTGCGGGTTGCAAAGGCGATCTTACCGGAGCCAATCCAAGCTTTGACAGACTTGTTCAACTTAAATTTGAGCAGCTGTGGTATCCGAAACACGTTCTGTCTGATGGATGAATTTCAGCTTGCAAATCATTTTTCTAAGAGAAAGATCATAGAATTTAAAAAAATATATATTTTTATTCCTTGAGGCTCACAGGAAAATATGACTTATTCACCAAAAGCTCACAAGAAAATGTGTCCTCATAGAATTTGGTTTTTTTTTTTTTTTTTACTCTGGGGGAGGGGGGGGACTGAAAAAACATGATAAGAATAATTAAGCATTATAAAGCAAACATGTTAAAGTGGTTGAGGAAACTTTGATATTTTAACATGATTCCTTGCACAAAAGTCTTCTGGAGTTAAATGTGTTATTAAATAAATGAATTTTTTATCACCAGACAAAAAGTAGTGTGACTATTTTTATGCCGCTTTCTATTTATCCTATGGCCTATGATACTTGAAATCCCAACTAAATCAACTTTTAACTCCACACCTCAATGATACCGCGACTTTGAACCATGGTCAATGCTCATGAAGTCACTTATTTAGAGACAAACATTTTAATTAGCCAAATTTGAATATTTTATAATATTTGTGACCCTGTGTGGTCGCTAGGTTAGTCCCTTGCAAAATATGGACTGGTTTCATCCAAAATACTTTTGATTATTGATGAAAATTTGCCCCAACTTGGCCCTGACCCGTTCTCTTGCCCATCCCATGTGGATTTTCCTGACCTGATAAGAAAACAAGGAGGGCAAGGCATTTGCTTTTCCTGGACTGTTTTCCCACCCCCAGGGGCGGAACCAATGAAGGCCTAAGGGACCCATGAATACAAAAAGTATCCCTAATATATCACTTGTAAAATTATATTAGTGTCTCTTCTAAATTATTTTAAGGTACCTAATAGCTTTTATTTTTCTAAAAAAAACCCTAATATGATGTTTTAGAAAGAGAGTAATAATATACAAACATAATGCTTGTACAAAAATTGTATACATAATGAGCTGAGATTTTGTGATTCCTTCGTTTTCAATCAAAACATTTACTATTATCCTTATAATTTCACAAATGTCATTGACAAATCATTCTGTTAAATTTTTTTATATGAATTTTAACTAGGGCATTTAGCCTAGTGTTGTGTACAGTATGAGATCTTGGGTTCAACTTATATGAGAAATAGTTTGATACCATTTGTAGTATTTGATTTATTTCGCTCCCATTATGAGGGTTAAAAAGTGCCCCTCCTATATCAAATTCCTAGATCCGCCACTATCCACCCGCACCCACAACCGCACCCGATTAGATTAATAAATACCGTTTGTATGTATGTATTTTACCAGTGGCAGGTGCATCGCAGTGTGTATGCAACGTTGCACGTGATTTTTTATTTTTTTTTAATGGTTTGATGATTGAGGTATATGATTAGATGAAAACCATTTAACAATATTAAGTAGTTTGATGAATGATATAACCCTTTAGCAATTATTAGATATGATAATTGAAGGCCATTTTTGAAAGAAGAAAAAAAAGCTGTGACAACGTTCACACCAAATGATTTTGCTTGTGTATCCAACAACCCCATCCCCACCTCAACAAGAAATGGGGTGGGGGGATGGGACACCACAATCCCACCCTTACCAAACTCCTTTGAGCATTGCATAAATAAATGATTATGGACATAGATTTGATTAGGATTCAAATCAATTCAAAAGATTTTTCTTTCTAAAGTTTATAGTCTTAGTTAAAATTAATAAACATAATACTCGTATCTAATTATGATTTAATTAATTTATTGCTTGATTTCGCGATACCCAATTTCCAAATGACTCTTCTTTGGAAAATCGGGTGAGAATAATTTAACTCACTTAAAAAACAATATAAATTAAAAAAAATAATAAGATAAAATATAACATTTAGGTTAAGTTTGGGAAGACTAAATAAGTGTACTTTTTGACTTTTTATGAAATATGGGTTGGATTTAGGTTGGGTTTGAAGTGATGTGTTAGAGAGATGATGTGACTCAAATAAGATGACGTGACTTAAATAGAATAGTGACTTTTTGAATTTTTTTGAGGATGGCAAACTTGGCCTAAATTATAATTATTTTATTTTTTTCATAAAATTATAAATAAAAATATCAAAAAAAGTTTAACGAGTTAAAATAGTCATAATGCCAAAAAAAAAAGCCAAGTAATGTAAAACAGTTCTACCCAAACGAACGCTAGACCCAACAAAAATTATTCAATAGTTTATATTCCGACACACCACCATGGCATGAGCACAAAAGAAAATTTGGCTATATCACACCCAAAAAATGGATTTAATCTTTTTTATTATTATTATTAAACATCCACAAAATCAACATAAATACATGTCCGACACGATTCAAGTACAATTATGGAGAATTTACAAATCAAATAAACTTTTCAAAAATAATTTCACACGGAAAAGTTAATGATTTTAATAATTTAAAATAATAAAAAGAAGAAGAAGAAGAAGAAGAAGAAGAAAGAGTAAGAGAGAGTTGAAGAAAGAAACAAGATAGAGAAGAAGAGAAAAAGAAATGAACACGCACCTGACCCTTGATCTTGATATCGATGACTGAAGATGACTGGTCTATGGACCTCTTCCTGCTTTTTTCTTGCTGGGGATGACCATCAACTTCGGACATCTTTTCCTTTTCTTGCAGCATACCAGACCCACAAGACACTTTCTCGGAGGGATTTTCCCGAGAAAAAGAAAGATGAGAGAGATAGAAACGTTTCCGAAAAAGAGTAGATAGTTCAAAAAAAGGCTGGGTCCTATCAAATGATGACTTGCCAATTGGCTGCGGCTGTCACTTTCACACCTGGGTCATGGACATATAGCGTTTTGTTTGCATTTTGCCTTGCTTTTAGCCATCTTTTGGCAGAGAACTAAAATAAGGTTAGGGGTTAAAATATATGAAAGCCTTGATCGATGACCTCCAAAAATTGACCTACTTGATTTGGCTTTTAGTAGTACATATTTGATCTAATTTGGTGATAAGAAGTCTTAGTCTTGATTCAAGACCTCAGCCGAAACTTTTATACAAAATGCTATCATTCCAAAATTTTTATGCAAAATCATCCATTAGTAATATTTTTGATATTAAGAAACATTTTAATGGTTTTTTTATTTTATTTTTTTATTAACTTTTTGTTTGTATATACAACAGAGAAATGACAACTCATTCTAGTGTTTTGCAAAAAAAAAATTCCACACTTCAATCTACCAGGGAAGAAACTATAGCTTATTTTGGCAATTAGGTTAAAATTTTATTTTTTAATTTTTTGAATCACATCATTCTATATTTTTTGCATGTTTTTTTAAGAAAAAAAATCAAAAAAATTGATTTTTAACCTACTGCTCCCAAAATATGCCAGCTGCTGATCTCTCAATTTTTAGGGCCGGCATGGAACCAACAAAGAATCATGTCTCTGGGACCAAAAAATAAAGAAGAATTTATAAAAAATTAAAATTTGACTCTTATAATAAAGTAAAATTTTAATTTTTAATTATTAATTTAAATCTTAATTTTTAATTTAAATTATTTATTTATTTTCATCAAGTAAAATCAATAAAAAAAAACATTTTAACCATTAAACTTAATATAAATATGCATAAAATATTGAAAATATTATTTATTTATTTTTTTGGTTGAATTTAATGAATAAAATATATATTTTTCTTGTCACAGTTTATTTTTGTTATGAGTATAGAAAGGAAAAAAGAACAAAAGAAGGGAAGACAGCCAAACCAAGTTACGAAGCTTTGATCTTCTTGGCAGTAGATTATGAAATAAATTACACATCAAAGTCAACAAGCACGTAATAAATAATTAAACTTTTACGGATTACAATAAAAAGTATATAAAACCCCAAAAATGGATTACAAATGCTTACTAGTAGGTGGGGAATTTCGGATGTACTTCATGGGCCCATGACTAAAGTCCTCCGATGATATCCTTTGCGGAAGTGAAACCCATCTTGTGAAGGTAATCAACGGCCCTTTGTGAATCATTACCTCTTCTACATACTGCATATAGAGAAGCAGCTGAAGCATGCTCTTCCTCCGTCTTCAAGGCTGAAGGTATTTCAGGCAATCTCGCCTCCAAACTTGACAGTGGGACGTTCATGGAGTTGGGAAGAGATGCGATTTTAAAGTGGTGTGCTGGTCGTACATCAACTAATGCATGTGGTTCTCCTCTAACAACTCTCTCCTTGTATTCCTTGCTGCTTATTCTAGCTTCTGTAGGAAGCAGGTCTAGCTTCAATGGAGTCTGCAATCAATCGGAAGATGGTCACGCAGGGTGAGGAAGATAAGAGGAAAATTATGCACTCAACAGACTGATCTATAAAGCCAAATAGACAATTAACCAGCTAGCAAGTTTGATGGCATTAGTATTACAACAAATGCTAATAAATGCATTCAGGTCATAAAATATTCCTAGTATTACAACAAATGCTAATAACATGCTCTTATTAGGATCATGTCAATGGGTTCAAACATTGATGCTGGATATTTGCAAAATAGAAGATGCAATTGTGGAAAAAAAAGCTACAGTGTTCATATCAGAATCAAAGAAAAATCCAAGGAAACTGTATTTTAAGTGTGCAGATAGGATGTGCGAGTACTTTGCGTAGGGAGCGGTTTTGACCGAAAATGCATCATATATCCAAAGGAAAAGTAATGAGTGAGGTTGTGATTATGATTTTGACAAAATCAATGAAATTATAAATAGAAGTGAATGTAACCTTTTAGTTATTTATTTTTTTGGTGGTTATATTTGGGTTTTGAATTTAGTAAACTTGGAACTACAAGTTTTGATATGCAAAGTTTAATGAGATTACCTATGCTTGACGAATGTGATGCGCTTCTTTTTTGTTTCTGTCAATGAAGTTGCTTTCTAATTCAATCTTTTCATTCATTCAGTTTGCAATACAAATGAATCTATGAAGTTACCTATGCTTCATTTGTTCTGCACTCGTGAAATGAATCTATGCGCTCTGTTATTTGCAATACACATGGGATTTGGTAGTTTATTTGGACAAAACAAAGAGAATAATCTGTCCAAAACAAAAATAATCTGTCCAGAAACAAGTAATCTGTCCAAAAATAAATCAGTCCAAAAATCTGTACAAAACAAAATAAATTTGTCTAACACAAAATAAACCAAACCAAATCTGTCCAAAATAAAAGAAATCTGTCCAAATCTATCCAGAACAAAATAAATCTGTCCAACACAAAATAAACCAAACCAAATATGTCCAACACAAAATAAATCACTCCAAATCTCTCCACAACAAAAGAAATCTGTCCAAATCTATCCAGAACAAAATAAATCTGTCCATAACAAACCAAATCTGTCTAACACAAAATAAATCAGTCTAAATCTCTGCCACTTAAAAAATAAATCTGTCAAAAACAAAATAAACCAAACCAAATCTGTCCAACACAAAATACATATGTCCAAAACAAATTAAGATAAAATAAACTTCTCAGGGATGTCCATCTACATGACTGTCATCAAGACCCACTTTACATTTAATTTTCTCTATCCAGAAAATCACTCTCAGCCAAACTTCCATGGAAGTAATTCAAGTTGGTCCTCTTCCTTAAAATCAATTTTCTTCGCACTCCTACAATCTGATGGTCGCTTGATCAACCTAAATTTATCTCGTAGATAGAAGAGCAGAGAAAAAAAAAATGGATATATAAATATGTCGACAAAAACATGTTCTCTCCCTTCATATATATGTCAACAAAGAAAATAAAAAGGGAACTTGCGATATAGAAGATTTTATTATTTTATAAGCTACCTTCATAAGTTTCAATAAATTTTAAATATCAATCCTTATCGATATATTAACATTACAATATTGACCAAATACTGATATATATCTCGATACTACAATTTGAACCAGAGAAGGCGGCGGTGTAGGGGCGGCATAAAAAGGATAAGTCTCGTACCGGACAGTGCAACTTGGAAACAGAACTCTCTCACCTCTTCTTTCATCGCAGCAATGGGGAAAACTCGAGATGGCATCTCTAAGACAACTATTGCAATCAAAGGTAGTCAATTCCGGTGTGCACTACGCTAATCCATACAGCTTCTGAAGTGCAGAGAAGCCAGCTTCTCTCATCGCGAACTTCTTACCTGACACACCATTCGAAGCACGGGTTGCTACATCATCCATTACTTTTCCCAACAAATTTGTAAAACGTTTTGGATCATTTATGTTCTCCGTATTGACAAAGATTAATCTGAAAGATTGGTCGGAAATCGAAAAGATTGATGTAAGATAAAATTGATAGAGAGAGAGAACAAGTGAATAAATGAAAAGTGTATTTCATGGATTGATTTACAAAGGGAGCCTAACTCTCTTCTTATAGCCTGTGATACATTGGAGAGAGAGCCACCGAATGCATAAAGCTAAAGCAAGCTAATTATGAAAGCTAAAGCTACACTAATTATTAAAGCTAAAACTAAACATAATAATATACATAATATTATACTAACATAATATATTATATATTCTAACATCCCCCCTCAAACTCAAGGAGGATAGGTAAAACCAACTTGAGTTTGGAAAGGAACAAAACATGAAGATAAACTAATACATAAAATAAAAGAGGATAGTAGACACTGTATGGTCGTGTCGGACTGTTGGTGAAGACACTGTATGGCCATGTCAGACCGTTGTAGCAGGACAGTTTACGAGGTCATGACGGACCGATATAGAAGCTGACCGGAATCAATGTCGGAACAGTTTACGGGGTCATGCCGGACCGATGTAGAAGCTGACCGGAATCAATGTCCGGACAGTTTACGGGGTCATGCCGGACCGATGTAGAAGCTAACCGGAATCAATGTCGGGACAGTTTACAGAGTCATGCCGGACCGATGTAGAGACTGGACGTTGAACCAGCAAGCGTGACACACACATAACTTATGACGTAGTGCTGGAAGATGATGGCAATAAATGATTTTGTGAGCCAGGGGGCGACTTATGAGAAAGTGCGCCAGGGCGACTTACGTGGTGCGCCAATGTTTTTTTTTTTTTTTTTTTTTTGGGGGGGGAAAAATAATAATAATAAGAAAATAATGGAAAAATGGATGATGCTCACCAACTGAGATGTATAATAATGAAATATTGATGAAAAAAGAAAGATAGAAAAAATAAAATAAAATAAAAAGAAGGTAGTGGGAATAGGAATCTGGAAAAACTCACCAATGGAGTTGGAAAATAAGGAAATCGCGAGAGAGAAAAGAGATGATGTTTTTTTTTTTTTTTTTTTTTTTTTAAATAAAAAAAAAGATAAAATAAAATAAAATAACGTGATAATGAGGCCCACGGGTTTGTTCAAACCAACCCATGATGGTGCCAGCCATGAGATTAATAAAATAGGAAAGAGTCATTGATTTGGGTGTAGGGTGGCCCATTGATTTGGGTAAAACCAGCACATGGTTTGTTGGTTCAAAAATATTGTTTAAACAAAAAAGAAAGGGAGGTGGTGGAGGATATGATGATGAATAAAAAATAAAAGAAAGGAGGAAGTCCGAGAGAGAGGTGCCGAGAGAGTGAGAGAGCTCTGTTAGAGAGAGAGAGCTGGGTTTGGTCCTCTGTGTGTATGGGTTTGCCGTGTGTGAGAAGACGAAGTTGGTGGCGTGTGTGTGTATGAGAGGAGAGTGAGTTGTGTGGTGTGCTCAGATCAAGGGTGGTGTGAGTGTGCCTTGTGTGAATGGTGTCTGTGTGTGTATGTCTCTTGTGTGTGTTGTGTATGCCTCTGCTGGGTGTGAAGGTGCTACCCGTGGGTGTGATACATTTCAAAGCTCAAAGCTGCAGAGTGAAAGAGCCTAGAGAGAGGGAGAGTAGATATGCGTTAGTTTCAGCCGTGTACAGCGGAGCGGAGACTATGAGTGAAGATGAGCTGCTGCTGCTTCCATGATGGTGGTGGTGAGGATCGAATCAGCCGCAGTTATGGGCGATTTCGCCGTCGGTGACGCCGGTTTTTGATGTGTCAGCGAGGCCGATCTCGTCGTTTGTGTCGGCGCCGCAACCGGTGGGTGGTGGGGTGGAAATTAGGGCCCTGTCGCCGGCAGTGTCGGGAGCGACGTTTGGGACGAAGAAGTCGAGTATGGCTCCGGCGAGCGTGAGCTCTGGGAGCAACAACAAAGCTCAGATGATGAGGGACTTTTCTTTGGAGATTTATGACAAAAAGGAATTGCAGTTTATGGGTTGATCTGGGAATCAACAAACACAGTCTACTTCTTGAAAATCTTCAACAAACACAGTCCACCCAAAGCCACCCCATGTATCCAAGCAATCTCTGTGAAACACATGACTACAGTTGCACAAATCTTTGTTGATTTTATCAGCGGAATAGGTTGAGCCACAAGCTTTTACAACGGTCCGGCATGACCCCGTAAACTGTCCCGACATTGATTCCGGTCAGCTTCTACATCGGTCCGGCATGACCCTGTAAACAAGTGAATAAATGAAAAGTGTATTTCATGGATTGATTTACAAAGGGAGCCTAACTCTCTTCTTATAGCCTGTGATACATTGGAGAGAGAGCCACCGAAAGCATAAAGCTAAAGCAAGCTAATTATGAAAGCTAAAGCTACACTAATTATTAAAGCTAAAACTAAACATAATAATATACATAATATTATACTAACATAATATATTATATATTCTAACAATTGACTTGTTCGAGTATCGCAACATGCACTCATCGTACCAAATCGTAACAGCCTTCGAATTGGGACAGTTTTGTACTACTTCTTTAGTAGCAGTGGACACGCAGTCTTGACAGATTATGGTTGAAACATCTCCCCGACAGAGGAAGAGGCCGTAGGCTATGTCGGGGGGGTTGAGGCCAGCAGTGAAGTTGTGGAAGCCATTGATGGTGGTAGACTTCGAAGCGAGAACAGAGAAGAGGGTGTTGAGGTTGGATTGGTATGTGCTGTTGGGAGTGTAAGTTCTTGTGTTTGGGCATTGAGTATAAAGGTAATTTGGGGATGTTTTGGTGGTTGTGAGGCTAAGCAAGCAGATTAGAATGGAAAGGAACAAAATGATGATGAGACTATTCACTTTTTTGTGTTTCAACAATTTATTAAAATCACATGTACGTATATATAAGTGAGGAGAGGCGGGGAGATGCAAAAGAAATGAGGAAGGTTTGTGGAAAATTAGGAGAGAGATAAGATGGAATAGTTGAACTTTGACAAAAATCATTACAAATGCAGTGTTTTGGTCCACAAGTTGGGCTGGCAGTGGCAACACATGAAAATTTATTTCATGAAATGTAAACATTTTATTTATAATTACAAATATAAATATCTCGTTTGAGAAGAATTTTTTTAGTCTGATTTTTTAATTTTTTTTAATTAATTTAACTTGGCTAAATTAGATCCGTTTAGAAAGAATATTTTTAATTTTTTGTGCGAGAAGTGAAATTATTATTATTTTGATGTAATATTTTATCTTATAAATTTATTTAACATATTTTGTCATTTTATATTTTTTTAGTCCCAACTCAAATCTAATCCACTTACTTACCATATTTTGTCATAGAAAGTTTTATTATTTACGACTAACATTGCAATCCGTAAAAAAATTATCGTTATTAATATTCAAGACCTACGCAATAGAAAAGACCTACGCAATAGACACATCATGATTGGAAAATTATTTACGATATGTTAAAAAAACAAGTCGTAAAAATAAAAAATCACGACTTCCATTTATAGTGTAAAAATCTAATTTTGTTATAATGTAAAAACATGTTCTCTCCCTTCATATATATGTCAACAAAGAAATCACTTTTCTCTCTATTCGTATTTATATATACACTTTTTTTTTCTCTCTCTCTGTCTCTCTACTCTTCTATCTACAAGATAAATTTTGAATCAACTTAGAAGTGTTTTGAAAAAATGATTAAAAATTAGTTCTTTAATTTTTTTAACTTTTTTTTTATGTAAGAAGTAGTGTGATCCAAAATAAATTAAAAGTTGATTTTTTTATTTTTTTACGATGTTCCCAAATGACCCTAAACATGAAATTTTCAAATACACCCCATTTAATTTAAAACATATTAACAAAAAAGATCTCTTTTAGGTACAACATAATGTAAACATAAATTTTAGAACATGAAACTTCATGTTTCGGATCATCTACCATGTATATCATCAAGAAAACAAGACTAAAAATTACAAGAATCCATCGATGAACGGTTAAACGGAAGCGTCTGATTGTCAATAAAACCTTTGATATTGACTATCTTATTGCCTTCTAATCCTTTCCCCTTTGGTGCCTTATGTTTTTCTTTGAGAGGATTTAGAAAAAAAATGCCAGTGTTCTTTTTTCACCTTGGGAAGGAATAGGGACCATAACCTTTTAAAGGTTGTAATTGGTTTTCAAAACTGAAAGGTTGTGGAAGTTCAAAAGGAATGAAAACCAACTTTAACCATTATTGGTTTTAATTTCTATTTATTGGTTTTTAAAACTGAAAGGTTGTGGAAATTCAAAAGGAATGAAAACCAACTTTAACCAATATGTTTTAATTTATATTTCTGCCCCTCATAGAAATAGAAATTATACAACTAGTATCTACACATTAGGTCCATAACACATATACCCTTAAGCCTATTAACTAAATTGAATCACTTATATTATAGACTTCTTATAAATGATAACATCACATTTAATTATGTGGTCCCATTGAGACATTATCTAACACATAAAAATCACCCAACGTATACAGTAACATGTTGAAATAGAACCGTTGAAGAAATGAAGAAGAAAACAACCATTGAAGAGGCTGTTTTGATAATTTTTTTTTTTTTTTTTGCATGAAGTTTTGATAAACTGATTACGAACCTATTTTGACAATATGGTTCTGACAATTGATAAACTGATAGTGCTTTCTTCATTTTATTTATTTATTTATTACGGAAAAATTTCTTCAAAATCCAACACGTTGCTCATTTTTATTTATTTATTTATTTTTTTTGATTTGTTCTTCCTAACTCAAGTATTCATTTAGACCAAAGTTAAAAATGTAGGCTATGTTGATAGTTGAAACAATATGGTTCTGATGATTTGCTGTACAATTTGAATCCATTACTACTCCTATGTTTTGATTTAGGTTGATCAAGCGACCATCAGATTGTAGGAGAGTGCGAAGAAAATTGATTTTAAGGAAGAGGACCAACTTGAATTACTTCCATGGAAGTTTGGCTGAGAGTGATTTTCTGG